AAAGAAAGAAAGAAAGAAAGAAAGAAAGAAAGAAAGAAAGAAAGAAAGAAAGAAAGAAAGAAAGAAAGAAAGACATATTTTGGGAGAGAGGGCTTCTTTCACATTGTCCTGGAAAGATTAGGATTTATCTGTTGCTGCCACATGTCTAGCAACTTCCTGGGACCAGCGACCCTCCACTTCACCCCCTGCAACCCAAGTGACCACAGCCAAATGGGCTGACTCTGTGTTACACAATCAGAGGGAACATCTGTATGCAAAATCCTGATTTTTTCATCCTTGCAAAATTTTATGTAGTTTAAAAAAAAAAAAAAGAATGGGTCTTTATGGGCTAAAAGGAGATGATGCACAAAGGAAAACTGAAACAAATTTAGTAACTTTGAAAGAAGGAATCTTCAAGGTGGTTTGATATGAAGGAGGAAACGTGCATGGTCCTCGGCCCTCCGTCCTATTACAGTCCAGTGCTCCTGAGAAGTCTGCTGAGCAACCCTCCCACTTGCAGGCGCTGCTCTTTTTCCTAATAATTTTAGTAAATTATGTTTTCAAATAATACAGAGAATTACAACAGTTTGTTTACAAGTTGATTTTAAGTTTGATTCCAAATGACAAAAGCGAAATGGAACTGAACGTTAGGATTTGAGCTGCACAGAGGAGCAAGCCCTCCTCTCCAAGAACTCACAGAGATGTGGAGTGAGACTCAGGTCACCGCACGGCCTTAGCAACTCAGAGAATCATTACAAATGATTAACTGTAGTGGAAATGCGTTCCAGGGGGCATCTTCTCTTCCACAGTTACCAGGAAGAAGGGGCAGTAAGGAACCACAGCAATCATGATCAGGAGTGTACTACACAGATGATGCCAGGCCATCAGAGTGAAGAAAAAAGATCTCTTAATATTATTTTTCAATTATGGGGGCTTTCTCTTGTTTTATGTATTTACTTTAAACAGTCTTAGGAAAATAATCCCATTTTTTAAAAGTTCACATATAATTTTCAAAGAACAAGAAGACTCATCCGGCTGTTCCAGTGACTGCAGGACGTGGTCAGCCTATTTTGATGCAGCTGTTTGTGCTGGAGGGGCATGAGGTGAAAGTGGCAGGGGACTGGAAGGGGCGGGACATGCGGTGGTGAGAGATGAGCCAACACTAGAGCATCGCTTTCTGGGTCATGACCTTTGGCTTTTGACCTCAGATCATTTGCCCCCATGTCATCCTGACACCATTACACAGGAGGGCTTTAAGACTATCAGAGGAGAGGGAGCGGGAGAACAGTCAGCTCTGAGGGGAATCCTCTGCATGTCTCTCACACTGGGCCTCCTGCAAACACTGCCAGCCCCCATCTACTTTCCTTTCAACCAGATGAATGACAGAGTCTAAGCTACAGTCCACCTGCCTCCCAACATAGAGGGACAACAAAAATAAAGTTTCCTCCTGCTCTCCCAGCACCTCCACCCCAATCTTTGGGATTAAACCCATTGTGATATGCTTCTACTGCAGTTTGAAAACCATTAGTTAGTTAAAAGGCATCATCTAACTTGGAATTCATTGCGTAGTAGAGACACAGAGGAAAACGAGCCCAACTGGTAGGCCTACTGACACTGTGGACCTACCGTTAGGGTGAACACTTCCTCCCCACTCTGGATGTCCCAAAGCTTGGCCGTGGTGTCCATACTTCCAGTAGCCACCAGGGTGCTTTGAGGGTTAAATGACAAACACACCTAAATCACATGAAATGGAAGAGAGTTTCAAACTGTTGGCTTTATATGGAAATTTTTTGAAGACCTTCGCAAATTCAACTTGATTCATAGTATAAGTAAATGATAAAACATTAAATATGAGAAGCCAGTTATCCTAAAACAGAATCCTAAAAGAGTCTTCCAAAAAGAGACCATGTGCCTCACATCGCTTGCTTGGGCTGGGAGGGGCACAGGCTCCTCTTGCTAGTTTGGGACACAGAAGAACAAAGGAAAATCCATCTCTCCTGAGTGTTCTTCATTCCTTCTTGACTTCATGGTCTTCTGGTCATGCCCCTTTCCTTAGGGCTGTGACCACTGGCTCACAGCCTCAGTTCTGTGTCCTACATGCCCTATATTTTGGCAATCCATCCATTGCTCCATGCCCAAGTCCTGGACCCCTCTTCCATAACTGCTCCCAGGATGTTCTGGTTACTTTTTATGATACTCTGAGCTTTCTGTCTTATACCTACTCCCCTCCTGAACCTCTGAAAATCTTAGCTTTCACTAATGTCCCTACCATTCCCCCCCCCCCGGTCAGCCTGCCTGCCACCCATTCAGCTGTCCTCTTCAAAGCATTCCTGACAGCATCCTCACACTGCCTTCAACATTTCCTGCTCTTCAGCACATAACTGGTCCTCCTGCTGCCTCCCTGGGAACGCCTGCCCAGCAGACGGGTGCTTCCTTCCTCACCTCACCCGCCCTCTCTGCCCCTCAGCCTCAGGAGCAGGAGGCTCCCTTTGCCCACTCTCACTCCTCTGCCCTGCACTCCTGGAGGATCTTGTACACACTCACATTCCTTCCTTCCAGACCAGATTTTTCCTACTTGCCAGTAAATGTGCATGAGCTCTCCTGTATGCCATAAAAACAAACCCTCTCTGGGGAAGATGGAAATACAGTTTACCCTCACTTTCTCCGCATCTTCTTCTCACTCTTCAAATCTTTGGAAGCCACTTGGGCTAAATCTATGAGGCATGGTTAGTCACCGCTAAGCCTCCCTGACGCCTGCAGTGCTGGCTTCTTTTGTTTCCATAATTCTTAAAGCTTCCACAGCTCTTTCTCTTCTTATTGTTGTTGTTGTTGTTATGAAGGATGGGTTGTATCAAATAAAGCTTCTCTTCTCATCCAGAATCTACCAGTCTTCTCCCCTAGCCTCCTTTCCTTTGGACAATTTTGGTCACTCTCTGGTCTCTTCTACCACCCAAATCCCAATGACTCGCTCACGTCCACGTCTCCTACCCAGACCTAATGTCCAGTTCCAGCCTCAATGAGCCACCTTGCTGTGGATGCCTGTTCAGATATCACACAGGCAGCTCTTCTCAGCACCAGACTTTAGAGTCCCATGAGCACAACCTTCACTGGTGAGCAGCACAGCCCGACAGCCAACGCCACAATCAGGGAATCGCCTCAGATTCCCCTTTGCCCTCATGTCTCCCATCTACTTGGCTACCAGGTTCTTCTCCCTCATTCCCTCAACACCTCATACATCCTCCTCAACTGCCTTCTGACAGTGCAACATCATTTATTATTTAGAAACAAATTCCCAACTGACTGGCACCTCTGATCTCACCTACCTCCCATTTCTCTTTCAGACTGTCACAAAACTGATCTTCCCAGAAATGTTTAAGCATACCTTTTCCCAGTGGGAAAGCCTCAACAGTGTGCCATCAGCTACAAAATGAACCCCCATAGGACCCTGCGTCAGTCTACAATATGGCCCCTGCCTGCCTTGCCCACTTGGACTAATCCCACCTTGCGATCCTGCTTTTATCCTGTTATGAGTCATCCTTAACACAGGGGAAGCACCTGAGATCTTTGTCCATGGCCTCAAACCACATGCAGCAGGCAGCCCCCAAGTGTGGGCACATCCACACTAGTACACTCTGGGCATCTACCACCGGGAAAGCCAGGGTGCTCTTCTCTGATCCTAAGCTCCTGAGAGCCTCCTGAGCTCTCACATGTGCACCACAGCCACACAGCTCCTCTGGCACTGGCCAGTGCTGCCCCCTCTGCCTGGAGTTCCCATCCCACCCACCTCTTTTCTGAATACCTGCTCCAGCCAGGGGGAAGGTGACCGCTCCCTCATTTAATGCCCATTCCTAGCTAACATACAGCTTCTTAGACCCAATTCACTGATGCCTCGACTCCTCCTACTACACACCAGAATCTTTGGAGGATAAACATGGTGTCTAATTTTGTCAGTAGCCCAAGCTTTTAAGCCAGCACTTCATCCATAATTAGTATTTAGCAAATACGTATAGGATAGATATCCCAACGGAGTGTGGAGACATGGCCACTTGCTAAAGACAGGGATGATGTCTTCCTTGACCTTGGACAGGTTGCTGTCTAGGATCCAATATCCTCAGCTGGGCCAGAGTAAATGAAATGCCCACTTCCTAGGGCTATGGGGCACAGCTACATGAATACCTGTCAAGGTCGCAGGACTGTGCCTCCCACAGCTACTGCCAATGAAGGTTCAGGTACGGTTTTCCCCACAGCGTGCTATGTCTACAAAATACCTTAAGTATGGTGTGAGTTCTTCTCAGATGAAGAAATACTATGAGCGTTAAGGATGAACATAAGGAAGATTTTCTCCCCAAATGAGTCATTTGTTTAACACTTCTCCGGGGTGCCAATTAGCTCACTAATGATCAGGAGGTAGAGTGCAGAACTGGCCAAGGGCAAGGGCTTCCCCACAGGGAAAGCAATTCAGAGCATCAGACTAGTTACACAAATTTGAGTCCTAATGATACCCTGAAAATAATAAGCCTAAAAAATCCACAGGATATAATATAGTTGTTTTGAAAGCTATTTATAACTTCATCAATCCTCATTGAACGAGCTCTTTAAAAGCAAGTGAATGAAAAAGGAAAGGGCTGGGTATCATACTCCTACGTGTTACATCACATGTGTACTTTGTCAATATACGATTCAGTTTGCTCGCTGTATCTGTAAGTTATTAAACCGTAAGTTACTTTTAAGTTGTATCAGCGTTGCCGTATAAAATTCACACAGACTGACACGGACGTGGGAGGTTAGAATTTGACAAGCAGAACTTCTGCATCCATGAAGAGAGCCGTAAAACGCAGCCGTGTAAAAGAAGTGATACAAAGGAGAAATCTACTCACTATTTCGGCCGTGTGGCCCCTAAAGGTGTGGTAGCATTCTCCTGTCTCTGCACTCCACAGTTTGCACGTCTTATCGAAGGATCCTGTGGCGATTTTGTCACTGTAATTTAAAAACACATGGATTTTTAAATCAAAGTCATCTATCACACTAAGTTGAGACAACAGCTATTAATGTATATATACCCATCTACTGAGAAATTTACTCCTGGTTCAAAATTATGAGCAATCCTGTATTTGTTTCAGTGGATAACAGACAAGAACTGATCTTTTGAAAGACACCAATGTATGTTTAATTTTACAGATCTTGTGTTAAGTGTAAAAATATATATTTTCAGTTAATAATAAATGTTCACAAAAGATTGACTTTGCAAGCCCAGTAATGCTAATGTGAATAATATGTAGCTTTCTCTGTATGAATGTAGGAAACTGCTGTGAATAGTAACATTAAAAAGGTGACACTGCCTTTTTAAAATGTGCTTTTAATTTTTAAAAAATATTTTATTTATGTATTTATTTGGTACAAGATCTCACTACCCAGCTCGGACTCATAGTGATCCTCCTTTCTCAGTCTCCCAGCTCTGGAATTACAGGTTTGTGCCACCACGCTTGGTTTTGGTGGCTGGCACAGTGTCCTCAAGTTTCAGGGTCTGCCATGACATGCGGTACCAGGGATCAAACCCTGGTCCTTGTGCTTGCCAGGCAGGTGCTTAGACCACTGAGCCATCTTCCCAACCAACACTGACTTTAAAAGAAGAAAACTGACAAGCTATATAGCTAATAAAGTTGTGAGAAAATAAGGGATGCATAATCTTTGAAAAAAATTATATAAATGCTCCAGTTATAAGAGGATGTAGAAGCCAAGAGTGGTGTTACACACCTGTAATCCTGTCATTTGGGAGGCTGAGACAGGAGAATCACTGTATGCTTTCAGCCAACCTTAACGACATAGTGAGACATTGTATAAAAAGGATACAAAAGAGGAGATTGATAAAGGCTTCCTAACCAAAAACTCCCCTGCCTCTTCCAAGCAGGGCTGTTATAGCCAATAGAAGACACAAATAGATTAGCCTGGTTAGTCTTCATCTTGGCACCTCTACTTTTAACCTTGGCCCATATTTATCCTTTATATTAAGGTCATCAAAAGTTCACCATCTGGGTTATGATTTCTGGTGTAATTTCATTTTTCAAAAGTATAAGGGGGATGTAGAGATGGCTTGCAGGGGGGTCTAAGCCCCTGCCTAGGCAAACTCAGGGGGTGAGGTTCAATTCCCAGCTCACAAGCTGCACTGGCCCCAGCCCTAGGTGCACTGAGCCAGCCACCGAGACCAGGCCTGGTAGCACACACCTGTAATCCTAGCAGCGGGGAGGCTGAAAGCAGGAGGATCACTACAAGCCCGAGATGCATAGCAGGACCCTGCACCAAATACATAAGAACTAAAAACTAAAAATAAAAATAAATTTTAAAAAGTATAAGCAAACTAAGATTGAAAAATATACATACCAAGGCAAATAATACAGACCCAACTTGTGGCCACCAACACTGGCTCTAGGTCCCCAAGCACCCTGTGTAGTACTTCTGTGGTCTCTCAGGCTAAGGAAAGCAAGGTCCTTCCTGTCTACATCTCAGGGCTGTGCTCACAAACCACCGAAGCTTCCAGACCCTCAAGGATGGCGGCTACTCGGAGTCTCTCAACTGCTCCTTTGGGACCCAGGCCAGAGCATCAGAGCGTTTCCTACCCACTGCCGCAATCTTCCAGCTTCTGCTCAAAACCAAGCCAGGTCAGGCACCTCAGCCAGTGTCCCATCCACCCTGCCCTCAGACAGATCACTCTCGAGGTGCTGTTATTACCTGTCCTGCTTCTTTCTACCACAGCGGTTCTCGAACTCCAGACCACATCACAGCACAAAAGATATTACTAATTCTAAAATTCTTTTAGAATTACTTTATTGAATCAAAACTTATTCCTGACCTAACATGAAGTAGATACTAAGATATCACACACACATACACACACTTCCATTTCAATGTCTTAAAATCGCTGAGATGAAAGTCAAATGCTAAGAACAACAATGAAAACTCTGCCTTTGCACATCTAATGTATGATTGAAAATATACATTGAATGATTAAATGTTTAATGTTTAAATGTTTTTAAAATTATTACAGTAAAAGACACATTGTAGTCATTGCCCCTTTCAGAAAACTCCCCCTCACCTCTAACACCCTTAGCCCATCATTCTTGCCACTTTCTGAAGCAGTGTTGGAGGTCCTCCTTAGTGTCTTTATGAGAGGTCTGATCAAAAACGTGGTTAATGATACCTCTACTCAACGGAAAGCGAAGCATCACAGTGCGTCCTCCCTCACCCACCTCATTCACAGGACCTGGCCTCCAAGTCACAATGACAGTGATAAGTAAATTCGTTCAGGACATCAAGGCAGCCAGGACAGCACAATTAAAGACACTTACATCTCATCCCATAAATTCCGATGTAAGTGTCTTTAATTGTGCTGTCCTGGCTGCCAACAGCTTCTGTGGATAATCCGCTACTATTGTGGACTGCTGGACTGTGTTGGACTGTTTTGCTGAATTCATGCACCTACAGTATTTAGATGCCAATGGAATATCTATCTCTGACAGGACAAAACAAAAAAAGGGGGATACAAATGAAGGACCATTTTGTATCTGTATATGCAGAATAATCAGGATAGATATACATCTACTTTCACTTAATTCAATGAGAAGAAAGATTTGTACTAATAGTGTTTGGACGGGATATCCTGTCTGCATCTTGTACTATGGATAACCACTAAGAAGATAGCAATGTACAATGTATTAATTATTGAAATTGTCCTATTAATCAGTTTTGAAACTGTCTTGCTGCTATTTGTTTCTCAATAAAATAAATAAATAAAGATACTTACAAAACAGGACTTCCAGAACTGCCTCAGAAAGTCTTAAGAATAATGAGACAAGTGCATTTGAATTGAGAGGGAGTATTTTGAGGAAAATTAAAGTCAATGTACCTTTTACTGAAATAAAAACTTAATTAAAGAGCCGGCGAGATAGCTCAGTGAACTAAGCACCTGCTTAGGCAAGCTCAGGGAAGGGGTTTGATTCCTGGCCCCACACGCTGCACTGGCCCCACCTCGAGGCACGCTGAGCCAGCACCAAATCCGGGCGTAGTCACTCGCCTGTAACCCCAGTACTGAGGGATTACAGTGCTGAGGGCTAGAAACACGAGGATCAGTACAAGTCCAAGCTGCACAGTGAGACCCTGTGCCAAATACATTAAAAACTAATAATTAATTAAAATATTCACCGTGTCTTTTGATCAAGCCTCACAAATAAATCACCAGATGGGGATAACGACTTACGTATCAAGGAGGATTTTCATCAGAGTTCTCGGTACAATCCAAAAGGACCAGAATATTCTTCACCTCTAAGCTCCCAAAAAATATTGTTCCCAGAGAGATGTGCAAAATATATCATGTCTATTAAATAGGCTATAAAAATATGACATTATAGAAACTTGCAATGCAATAAAGGTAAGAATTATACTAGCAGTGTAAAACAATACCATTTAGAATTTTAATGCAATTGTTCACTTCCTCAAGTAGGTATAATAAATTATTGTATGGTAAAAAGTTGTGGTCCTAGAGAAGTAACAAAATGTGAAGGACAAAGTTAAATTGTCCGGACTTTGTCGTATGTAATCACTTAATCATGGAATTGTCATTTAAGGTTGATTGTACCATCACAATTAATGTGTTTGGAAATTATTACACTTTAAAAAGATGTCATGGCTTAGTGATCTAAGCATTAATTGTTTTAATTGGAGTATAAAATTCTACTGTGAATGCTTCCAATGTCTAGCAAAGCCCTGTAGTGCCTGTCACTCTGCCACAGCCTTCGCTGTCTCCTGAGGGGATGTCTGTACCTACCGCCTTGGGAGTCCCCTCCCCCTGCATCTTCCCACCCCCAGCCTCTGGCCCCTCTCTCTGCCGGCACAGCCTTCCAACAGTGCTTGCATCGCTCCACTCCTTTGATCCAAACCCTTGATAGCAGCTCAGTCTGGAAAAACAGGGTACAGATGCTCTGACCTCACCCCCTTCTATTCCATCTCAGGAAATGCTCCCTGCAGAGACGGACTGCTGGCTGCCTGCTGCATGCCCACCTGCAAATCCTGAGCTGCTGAGGTTCCCTTCCCCATGTGACCTCTCACCCTCCATCCTTTCTTCCTTTAGATTTAGGCTCTTACCTCACATTGCCTCCAAAGAAATTTAAGCCAGGAAAAACCACTATTTTGTTCCTCTCCACTTTTAAACTATTAACCTGTCCTGTTCTAGTTATCACAATACTGCAGTAGGTGAACTTCTTTGACTAAACCAGATAAAAAGTCATTCATGGAATTGTCAAAAGATGTGTTATAGTGAGCTAATTAGTGCTCCCCACGAGCAGGAATGCCCAGCTAAGCCCCGCTAAAGACCGTGGTTCTGGGCCTGGAAGGCCCACCTGAGGATTGCTGCCAAAATGACATAAAAGGACAATGGGAGGAGGGAAGACTACATGCTGCTGATTGTCACGGAGGAGCTGGCCAAGGCAGACCTTGGATGTTTTCACTGGAGGAGGAACTTGGGTTTTCACTGTTGCCTGCAAAGGCTGTGATTCTCTTTGCAAGAGGCTCTGGTCTTCACCTGAGCCTCATTACCTGGCTCTGTGCAGATCCCACAGCCTGCTGCCACATCTCTTGAACTCTTGTGCATTTGACTTTTTAAGTGAATACTAAAAAATAATCCTATAAATTATATGTTCTTGTCTCAGTTACTCTTCGCTCATTGCTGGGACAAATACCTGACACTCCAGATGAAGGAAGGAAAGGTTTATTTAGCTCACAGTTACTGGAAGTTTCAGTCCACACTCAGCTGGCTCCAAGACAGAGCAGCACATGGCAGAGGGCAGAAGTTCAAGGTGGCAGCAAAGAGCAGAGAGCAAATGGGAGGAGTAACAGCAACTGAAGGACTACAGAGAGAAAGTCTGTCTCCCTTAAATTGCTTTCAGGCTATCTTCCCCACTCTGGGAGTAATACTCGCACCCATAATCCCAGCAGCACTCACATCCATAATCCCAGTGGATCATGAGTTCATCACAAACTCCAGAAGTCTGCCCCATCATTGCATGAGGCTTTGGAGTGACAGAGACACGCAAACCACAACAGTCCTATATTAAATCTATTACTTTGCAAACTCTGACTATAATACACCTGCTTAAAAAATTTACACAAATGTACATACATTTGCTAATCTTTCGACAAAAGTGGAGCACCTTTTAATTCTGTGTCAAATACTAGAATTTGTCATCCAACTGAAATCATATCAAACGTCTACAATTCTTATTTTTTTTTCGTTTTCTTTTTTGTTTGTAGTGAGGGTTAAACCCAGGACCTTCACACTGAGCTACATTCTTAGGCCTCTTTCTTTTTCTTTTTTTTTTCCTTAACTTTCAACAGGATCTCCTCAAGTAGCTAAGTTCCCATGGCTGGGCTCGAACTTGTGATCCTTCTGTCTCAGCCACCCAGAATGCTGATGTTACAAGCATGTACCACCACTCTCAGGTCAGTTTTCTTTAAAAATGCCACAACTTAAAAGTCAGAGTGCATAATTTTTCCATATTTTCATAGTGTATGTTCTAATCAACATTGATCTTAACCACAACTTCAATTAGTAGGAATTTTTTTCAAAGATTTACCTTACCTGTTTGTATAGCAAACAACAGCTTTCTTCTCACACTCATCTTTTAATATTTTTCTAATATTTTTAATTACGTCAATAATTTGTAGAATTAAACTCCATATTAAATTATGTAATTGGAATAAAACACAGCTTTATGGACAAATACAACCAGCGCTTGAGCTTAGACCCTCCTCACAGGCAGAGAAGCTAAAGGCAGCAGTGAGCAGCCTTGCAGCTACGGCCTCCTGAGATGGCCCGGGATCCTCAGTAGGATGCTGTGTGCAAGGACAGAGGACCACGATCACCTACTGAGGCAGTTCCCTGAGCCTGGCTTCTCAGTGTTCCTGTTGTTCTTCATACTACTAATTCGTGTGTTCCCACGCGCACTTTGCCACCTGGCAAGGCTGAAATAGAATCCATGGTGCAACTGTACATCCATGTCCCCCATCCAGAGCCATCATAAATATCCATGGGAAGGACCTGGTAGCCGGGAATTCCCAAGACCAGACAGGCAGTCTCGAGGAAAGTGAACACAGGTCTCCCCTGCGTGAGCCCAGGAAGAGTACCTGAATTTTAGCCTCTAAGAATAATGGCTCTCGCAAAGGCTCGCTGCCCACTGAGGGAAGTACTGAAAAGGCTTCCTGCGCACGTAGCCAGCACTCGAGATATTATAATTCTGTCTGCTTCTCTTCATCTCCTGACTGACGCAGGGATGAACACAGGTGTTAAAGAGGAAGGCAGTGAGTGGGAAAACAGACCCGTAGGGATTGTTGAAGGCGATGGTGTAGACCACGTTCCTGTGGCCCTCCAGCGTGTGCAGCTGTTCTCCGGATCTGGTGTCCCAGACCTTGCACATCCGGTCGTAGCTTCCTGTGATAAAACTAACACAAGCCAGAATCATTTCACAGAACGAGAATGGCACTGCGCTAACCAACACGCTATTTTTACCTGCATGACGGTAACTCCTATGTTTTGTCTCCTTACCATGAAATTGTGTCTATTCAACAAATTATGAGCAACGTCTAAATTTTTTGACCTTAAAATATCTTCATTTAAACCAAAAAGCTAACCACTAAACAAAACAGAGTAATTTTAATACTAACTGCTACATTCCCATAACATGCAATCTTATATCATTAAAGAATAATAAATATTTTAAAAATACATATATGTATATAACTTGAAATAACATTGTCCCAGTTATTCAGATCATAAAATTCTATTGGTATCCTCCAGCCCGCTCTCCCTCCCACACTCTACAAAGGGCTCAATCACCAATTCCTGCGAATATAATGTCAAATACATCCTTTCCGTGGTTCCTTCTCCCCACAGCCTCCGCACCTTGCCTAAACAAATGAAACCATCATCCAGTGACTCTTAGCTCATGCAGGGTCCCTAAAGATCTATGTAGTTCCACAGAACATGGAGATTTTTTTTAAACTCCAAAGACAGCAGTCTAGGCTAGCATTCAGCCCTCAGTTTCTCCCCAAGACCCAGCCTCATCAACCACATTCGCCTTGTTGCTAGTCTCTGAAGACCCTCGTGCTCTGCCATCTGGTGTCTTCCCATCCCCCAATCAAATGATGACTGGGATGCTAACATGTATGTGTCTAGAGAACACATTCTTTGATAAGTAAATTAGCGGGCCCTTTGATGTAACTGTTCTACTGCAGAAAAGATGTGTTGACCCAATGCCTCTTAGGAACATACCAGCATCTTAGTCATCCTTCTAGTACTTGACTAGGAAGGAGAATTTCTTTTTACAATATCTCTGAAATAGAAACATTAATTCAAAAGCAAAGCAAACAGATTTGACTTTCAACAGAGGAAAAAATGCACAAAGCTGAGAAGCAAGTGTGAAGATCCAGCAGTAATGATGAAAACTGGAAACAAATTCTGATGTGCAAACTTAACTTCACAGAAAGACGGATGAGACAGTGTATTATGGGTTATCTTTAAAGCATTTTTCTAAATAGGAATCAGGATATATCATGTGCCAGTACAAACTCGCTATGATGAATGTGATCAGTAAGTACATCTAGGGGGTAGAAATAAACTTAATAAAAATTTTTAAAAAAGAAACATGTGTTTCCCGCTTCTTCCCTCATGGCTTTCTTTACCTCTGGGTAAATGCAGACCTATGTTTGCAGCTACACTGTAGATGCTTTATGAGCTGAACTGTGCTCCATCCCCACTCCAAGCCTCATTTTGTTGACATCCCAGAACCAGTTACCTGAGAACACAACCTTATGTGTCAATAGCATCACTGAGTGTGTAATGAGCCCAGAAGTGGCTGCACAGTGGCAGAGAGGCCCCTAACCCAATGTGTGGCACACACGCACGAATGAACACCTGTGGAGATGGAGGTGGAGGTCACCCTGGTGCCTCTGCACACCAGGCCCCACCAGAAGCCAGGACCGAGGTGTGGGCCAAGTCTCCTCACAGTCCTCAGCAGGAGCTTCCTTCGCCTTAGACCTCGAACCTCCAGACCTGCAAGTGATGAATCTCTACTGTGTGTGTCACTTAGTTTGTCCTGTATTACCACAGTGGTCCTAAAAAACCGATCACTATAAGGAATATTTATATGCATGATTGGAGGTCAAAACGAGCTTTCTAGCTCTCCTTTCCTACCTAGCACTTCCAATGCCAAGCGGAGCTGAGGCATGCGCCGGACATGGGCCTGAGGGCTCTGCTCACCATGTCCCAACACCCTGAGCCTGCTGCTCTGAGCAGACTGATCACACACAGCCACGTGGTCTGATCAGCCCGACTGTCGAGGCAGATACAAGGCAACCTGCCAGCCCCAGCCCCAGATTGTATTGTTCACAGCTATATTTGCTGAGACTGCAGAATGCCACCCACCCAAAAGACATGAGTATTATAGAAAGCTTAGAGTGGAGGGAGAAAAGGTTTATATTTCTCCTTTACATTCAAGTGGATACAAAGCCAAAAGAAACGAACACATAAGACAGTTAATGGAGTGGTATATTTGGCAAACACTCAGAAATGTTTATCCCTTAGCTTCTAAAAATGAGAAATAAAAGCAGAATCTTACCACGAGCCTGATTTGTTCAGTGCAACATTAGTCAGGGGCAGTATGTGCGCTCTGAGAACCTTCAGTGGAGGAAAACACAGCTTATTTGGGACTTTGATCAAATTAATTTTAAGTCATTAGTTTCAACTTCAAACAAGTAAAGACATTCAACATTGTCTTAACAACAGATAATAAATGAACAGTATATAATATCTGAACAAATGAAAGCCTCTACCTTCTGCTATTAAGACAAACCATAATTTATTGGGTAATTACAGATAATTTAAGATTTAATTAGCTCTGGGTTTTCATTCACAACCAATTTATCATTACAATAAATCATGGTTATTAAATAAGATACCAAATAGGACTAACCTCTTCTTTACGTGGGTCCATGTTTATGGTACACAATGGACGCGTTTGTGTGGGTGTTGGTATGGCAGGTCACATCTTAAGTTTTGCTTCCCCTCTTCTCCCCCACCTAGAGATCCTCTTCCAATTTACAAAGGCCTATCTCTCTATTTTGTACTGTTATTTTACTCTAAATTATTCATTCCTTAGGTTTCTTTACATGAGAAACCATGTAGTAGTTAAGCTTCTGTGTCTGATTTATCTCACTCAGTATTATGGCCTCAGGATGCATCCATTTTCCTGCAAATGGCTCCAATTTTCTTTATCTGTTCATCTGCAGAAGGACGCACAAGCTGCTCTGGAGACCCAACCGCTACGAGTCACACTGCTGTGCACATGGGTTTGCATGGAGCACCATAAACTGACATCTTCAATTCTCTTCTTTTGTGCCTGTGTTCTTGTCGTTGTAGCTTCTTAACATGGCTCAAGATCTGGGACTGCGAGGCCTTCTGCTCTGCCCCCTTTGCCCAGGATGCTTTTGCTGTTCTGGGTCTCTTCTGCCTCTACATAAATTTTAAGGTTGTTTTCTAGTTATCTGAAGCAAATTGTTGGTATCCTGATTGAGATTACATCAAATCTATGTATCAGTTTTGGTAATCTGCCCATTTTGACTATGATGGGTCTGCCTAGCCAGGAAGAAGAGAAGTCTTTCTATTTCCTGATGGCCTCTTCAGTCTTTTTTTTTTTTTTTTTTTTTGGCAGAACTGGGGATTGAACTCAGGCCCTTGTGCTTACCAGGCAAGCGCTTATTCTACTGAGCCATCTCCCCAGCCCCTTTAATCTTCTTTTTCAAAGTACTGGATTTTTATTATAGAGCTCTTTCACTTCCTTGTTTAAGTTAACACCTTGGTATTTAATTTTTGAGGCTCCCAATAGCACTAACTTCTAACATTTCATATTTTGCATATGATTTTGTACATGTTTCAAGACTGTATATAGGAACAACATTAAAAATGATCCATATATAGTTTGCAATGGTTATTACTTTTTGAATCCTAAATTTCCTTTAAAGTCAGGATACATCTTATTTATCATTCAATCACAATGTCTAGCATATAAAAGCTATTTAATGAATTAAAAATTCTATCAAAAGGGCAATTTTCTAGGCTGGGAGCATCCCTGTTATGTCTGCTACCAAAGATTAACTACTAAGAGTGTCTCTTATGGCTACCAAATCTTTCCCTCTGGGAGATTAATTATAAGGGAACTGCAGTCTTATGAGCGCACGTTTGAAGTTAAACACTTCCACCTGCTGGAAGAAGAGATATTGCAAATTTTTCATTTTTCCCACAAATTTGAATGGATGACTACCAAAGAAGCCCTGGATATTTTTTATCAGGTAGAATAGGTAAGCACATAAAAAATGTTTATTATTGTAATAATATTTAAATCATAAAAGTAATACAATGAGATAATTTTAGCACAAATATTAGATGTTTTAAGTAATATAGCTGTTCATAAAAGTGCTAAATGACTACATTTGTTATATATTTAATTTACCTATTAAAACTATAGAGAAATAAGCATGTTACATTGGATAAAAGTTATTTAAATTCTATAAATAATATCCTGAAATTCACATGAAAGCCAAGAATATGAAATGTTTATGAGCCATGAAACATAACTTACTAAAACTGCTCTAACTAGGAAATAATTTTAATTTTCCAATAACTTAAAACTGCCTTAACACTAATAATCCTTCCAATTATTCATGTCGAAAAGGAGCAAAACTTCCTACAAATATTTAGCATCTCAAGAAATGAGTCTTCTGAATTTCCCTCCGTTATGGTTTGTGTCTTATTGTCTGCCCAAAGCCTCATGCAGTTATGGGGTGGACTTCTGGAGTTTGTGATTAATTCATGGTCCAGGCTGGGATTACAGGTGTGAGTGCTACAGGGATTACGGGTTATGAGTGCTGCTAGAATTACAGGTGTGAGTGCTACACCGGCCTGGGGCTGATAGTCTGAATACAACAAAAGGGAGACAGACTTGCTCTCTGTTTCCACTGTTGCTGCTACTCCTTCCTTTACTCCTGCTGTTTTGCTCTTTTCTGCCGCCATGAACTGCTGCCCTCTGCCACGTGCCAGTCTGCCTTGGAGCCGGCAATGTATGAACTAAAACCTCCACAAACTGTGAGTTAAATAAAATTGTCCTTCCTTTAAATTGTTGGGTGTTAGGCATTTTGTCCCAGCAATGAAAGAAAAGTAACTTTGACACCCTCACTTCACAAATACTGAATCTTAATTTCAGCAAGTTATTTGTAAAGCACTGAAGTGATCGTCACATAAGCATTTCTGGTGAAAGAAGTTATTTTCAGGGAAACAGAAAACTAGATTTAGGAGATGAACAGAACATCAGTTATTGCACCAAATCTCGTGTGCCTGGTATTTTAAACACACCTTACCTTGACGAGACAGAAGATGTGCTTGCTGTTCTGTTCCAGCTTTGCCTGCAGTCTCTGGACTAACAGCCTGACCTTCTCGGCTCGGGAAGCTGTGATCAGAGGCTCCGCTTTCTGGATCTCTTCTACTAAAGCGCCAACATCAGTACTGAAATTCACCACACACAAAAAAGGTTTTCACATTAATACTTGCATTTATATTTGCTTTGCATGAGGAACTGCATTGCCTTAGGAGGCGCGTTTCTAAAATGTTAAGATCATCATCCTCTTCCCCAAGCGGTTACTGGAGGAAATCACACAAGTCAACCGGGAGAGCAGCAGCGCAGAAGCAAGACACTTGGATTTTTCTAGAGTAGGTTTTCCCATGACTCACAGTTTTCTCGTGGCGGATGTGCCAAGATTGCCTGGGGCTCGCCTGGCTCTATGACTGTGTGTGCCCCTCTTAGGATCCCTGTCAAAGGCCAGGGGCTGGGGAGACAGCTCAGCAGTGCAAGTGCCTGCCTACCAAGCACAAGGACCCAGGTTCGATCCCTGGTACTGTATGCAGTGTCAGCCACCCAAACAGGAAGTGGTAATTCCCGCACTGGGAAGATTGAGAAAAGAGAATCACCATGAATCTGAGCTGCATAGTGAGACCCTGTACCAAACAAGCAAACAAATAAATAAATAAATATTTTTTTAAAAAAAACCCTCAAAGGCCGGAGCACCAGTTTCACGAGAGGGTGCCTGGGGTGACCAAGCTCCAAGGCTGGCATCTCATCAGAGCACTCCTGGAGGCATTTGGTCCCCTCTGCCCATTTCCTGATGTTCTTTAGCCATGTGAACGTGCAGCTCCTCCTCCTCCTGCAGCAGGAGTATCACAGCTCGTTCTTGGGTGCAGAGCGAGCACTCAGTACTCGCCAGACACCAAACCCACGAGCACCTCAGCCTCGAGCTTTCCAGTCTCCAGAACTGAGATACAGAGGTCTGCTCTTTATGACACAGCCAACTGCAGGTGCTTTGATTAGTGCAGCAAAACCTGCACTCAGACACTTAAGAAGCTTGGAGCTTGGTAGTTCTGAGTGTCAGGAATTCTTCTTCTTTTCTTGTTTCTTTCAGTTGAACCTGTGTTGACTCTGCCTGGTGCTATATTCTCCACTTTACATATTTTCTCTTATTTAATCCTATAACACGTGACTACAATGCTTTTATCATCACTGTGTTAGATGTGAAGAAACTGGAGTTCAGAAATCTAAATTTTTGGATACTTTTAGAGAAAGATGAAATGCCTAAGCATAAACACTTAAAGAATAATTATCACTAATGTTTCTTATGAACTAGGTTATTATGTTTCCTGAAAAGAGAATTAATCTGCAAAAATATACAGAGGGGTTCAAGATGTCCCCAGTAGGCAACTCTCCACAAAAACTCCAGCAAATTTTGCTAGTCCAGAGTAGTATTAGTTCCCCAAATAAGCATTAATATTCAGGTATCATACCGCATCCAAAGCAGTCAATTTTTAAATCATGTCACAAACGTGTCTGGAAGATACGCATGTGGATTCCTCTTCAAAAGAGGTTCAAAGCCAGCTCAGAGGCGAGACCAGCTCCAGCCACACCTCCTCTGGGCCGCACTTCAGCATGGGAGGTAGAGCAGCAGCCTCTTGGGTGCCCTCAGGTGACCTCCAGCCCACGCAGGGCCAGGGGGAGGACGCCAGACGTCAGCCACTGCTGCCCCACCAGGGACTCTGCGCGGCGCGTTTTCTCCCCGGCTCTGCTCTGTGCTGCCAGAGGCTCCGTTATCCAATCTGCAACAGGGAGCATGACTGAGCTGCTTCCGCCCAGTCCTGCCACACGTACTGCTCCGTCACAGACAGCACTGTCCCAGAAGCCTCTGTCTTAGGATTTGCGCCCAGAAATGTGACCGCACATACGTGTCTCTCTCCTCTCCTTGTGAGTAAAGATTCACCAAACTCCAGTTTTGTGAGCCAGAAGCCTGATTATCTGGATAATATTCATTGAATATCTGCTGCAGCTCAGGCTCTAGAGTGCCAAAGATGTGTTATAGCCTTCAAAAAGTACAGTTTATCCTAATAGTATTGAGTATTTTGAACAGAGATAAATCAGAGGTCATTTATTACTATTACCTGAATAAACCCTGAGGTATTTAGCTGTCGCAATAATTACAGTTCCATAAGAATTCACTGAATAATAAATGCCTCTTGAAAAGGTTTCCAGTAGCTGATGCGAACCAAAACAGACTTCTTAGTGAGATACGACCAGTCAGATACTTAATCTGGACGCCCTAACCCTGCAACATTCTAATTGCTACATTTTACACAGTAAATCCAGTATGTCACAGGCAAAGCAAGTGCTTTTATGAGCACGGTACTCCCTGATTCTAGGGCAGATCCAGAAAGAAGATCCATAATTTTAGACCTTGAGATATTTACTGACTTTCCAGATTGCCAGTCTTGGATGATTATGAGTAAACTCTCACGATTATGGTTGGCTGTTTCTTATGGCTCCTCAGGAAGCATTACTACTGAGTGCACGGGGCCTCCTGAGGAGGACGTCAGGGAATGAAGAGCTCCTGGGCTCACAGGCCAATCAGCCCTTTCTGAAAGGACCTCAGGATCTATATTTTTTTTTAAATAAATTGTATCTTTTTCTGAATTGTTAGAGTGAAACTACTCTCACATAGAGGTTTAACTTAACACTAAAATGATACTGTATTTTGTACATTTCTCAAATGGAAATAGGCCCACGAAGAGTAGAGATTATTCCTATGGCTTCGTATCAAATTTTTAAAACTTTGCATGTAAGAGGTGCAAAGAATGTCTAACAAGCTTTCTGTGTGCCAGCACGGCACTGTTCCTCTGCTTTGCTTCCCAGCTGCTGTGGACTAAGCATATCTCAGGCACATCCTTCTGCCATTGAATCCAGTTAACCATGGATGAATCTCCTGAAACTGTGAGCCACTTAAACCTCTCCTACTCTAATTTGCATGTGTTGGGTTCTGAGTCTCATTGAAGAACAAACTGATATCAAAAATTGGTACCAGGGCAGCCATTGCTGCAGCTACCTGAAATGTGGTTCAGAATCTTGGAAACCGGTTTGTGGTAGAAATTTGAAAAATTTTGGATGACTTAGCTAGGAAAAGCCTACAAGCTTATGCGGGGTATGATGGATGATACCTGTCAGAGCCAAAAGACAAAGACCAGAAGGCTGACAGAAATTGGTACAGTCAAGGCCAGGCTCAGGAGGTTTCTGTGGGGATTATTTAGGGAGTTGGACTTGAGACTGTATATGTTGTACTCTTGAAAGAAAAAAAATCTGCCTACCTAATGTTCATGTCCTAGAATTTGCAGAAGACTGAGATTAATGGCAGTGACTAAATGAATTGGTAGAGGAAGCTTTGAGGCAGAGTAGCATTGAGGTTATGGAATTTGTACTGCTGGCCACTGTTAGCTAGATATATAGGCATGTAGAATGATAAAAGTGTAGGTCTGGGGAGTTATCCAGCCAGATTTCATAGAAAGGCCAGGCAAAGAGCCAATGACTGGGCAGTGTGCAGAGCTGTGAAAAATAAAGCCAAACATACAGTGGAGACCCCAAGAAGTCAGATATCCCAGGAAGATGGGACTTGTGACAAAGAAATTTGCAGGCTGCAAGTAGAGCCAGCCTGAGACAGGCCCTGTGGGTTGCAAGCAGCAGGCCCATGAGAGTGGGGTGACCCAAGTGTTTGGAGCTCACGTCTCAACCCTGTGTCCACGGTGGCAGATATGGAGCTGTACAGGTCGTAATGTTTGCCTGCTAAGTTTTGGCTTTCTTTGTTCTGATTCTTTCCTACCTGCCCCTAATCTCTCCCTTTTGAAATGGAGAATATTATTATAATGAGAATTATATAACATTATACCCTGGAATTGTGGGACCCATCTTTGATTTTTATAGAAGTTTACACATAAGAGAACACCTGGGGTCTGAGAAGAGAATTTTGACTTGGACTTTTAGAGAAAGTGCTAGAACTGTTGAGGCTTGGGGGAAGAAAGCATTGCACTCTTGGTTGGAGGCAAGACACTTGTATCCTGTTAGTTGGAATTCTGACCAGGTGTTTATTTGGGGTCTAAGTATGGTTTAAGGAGACGTGTTTGGGTGTGAAGTTCCTCAGGAGTGTAATGTGGTGACTAAGCTTCAGTGCATCGAGTTGAGTAGCGTGGGAGGCACCAAAGGAATCAGCGTGGGTCCCGTCTCAGTGGGCCGTGGAGGCCTCGGAGCTGAAGTCTGGCTCTTCACCCCTTCCTTTTCAGAACTGTTCCCCAGCTTGGCTTCCCAGCTGCGGCACTCCCCACGCCCTTCCTTCCTCCACAACATCTCTGCCATGGAACTAGATGCACGTGGACTGAATTCTCTGAAACCAGAAGCAAAAATAAACCCTTTCTCCCTCAAATTATATATGGTAGGTACTGTGCTCCAGCCTTTTGGCAGCAGCTCCAGGATTAAGAGACCCCTTTCTCAGTACCTCTGAGTTCCTCAGTAGCTGTGAACACCTCATTTTAAAAACCACAGATTGGCCAATCTAATGGTCTCAGGCCACAACTTCAAAACAGTGTTTTGGGGCTCTGGGCTTTGTTTTGTTTCTGTTTGAGCACCAGAGCCAACAAGGTACAACACAGCACAGAAGAACAATTGTTTAGATGACAGATTACATGTAGCTTTCACAGCTCATCCATGTCACGCTACATCAGGGTTTTGCAACAAGAATTTTTGATGTGAAATACCCAAAGCATTTTGTAGCTCACTTACCTGGGATCAAGCTCAAGTAAATCAATTGATTTGGTCTTTAATTCTCCATTTGTTTCATACTCCAACATAATTCCTACAAGTCAGACAAATATATGATGCTCAGTAGTGACCATCTATGGCAGAAATTTTTCAGAGTTTTAATTTCTCAACATAAAAATATACAGTAATGCCTGCAACTAAGGTTGTGCAGATGTTTTTACTCATCCTTCCCTATAAACTCCCTTGAGGGGGTGGGGAGAGAGCTCAGTGGTCTAAGCATCCACCAGGCAATTGCAAGGGCCTCGTTTCAATCCCAAGTAATACATGCTGCTGTCCCTCAAATTGGGCCTGGTGGTGCACACCTGTAATCACAGCACTGGGGAGGCTGAGACAGGAGGATCACTATGAATCTGAGCTGCATAGTGAGACCCTGTATCAATAAATAAATGAATAAAAGATTTTTAAAATAAGTTCCCTTGAAATTATTTAAATGACAATGTTAAAAAAATAGTGGGACAGAAGAAGATGGAATGGGTAGAGGTCTGACAAGAAATGGCAACATAGGAGATCCTGACTTTTGTTATGCTGGCTTGGCTTGGTTTGGTTTCATTCGGTTTGGTTTGGGTTGGGTTGGTTTGTTTGGTTTGATTTGGGTTGGGTTGGGTTGGGTTAGGTTGGATTGGATTGGATTGGGTTTATTTGGGTTGGTTTGGTTTCTTGTAGTCCTGGGTATTGAGCATGGGGGTCATAACACTGAACCCAGCTTTTTAAATTTTTTAATTCTTTTGAGAGAGGGCTTCCCTAAGCTGTCCCTATTGACCTCTAATTTCAGTCCTCCTTTCTCAGCCTCCCAACGCTAGGGTCACAGCCCTACGTCACTGTACCTGGTTCTAGCTTTTCTTTTTATCTTCCCTATGCTACAAAACTGAAACCAAAGTATCTGCAGCCAGGAATCACCAAAAGACATAGACTAGAAACAACAAAGCAGAAAAGCTTGTTCTCTGTGGCCAAAAGACCAGGAAAAGGAAAGCCAGACAAGAACTAACAAAGACTGAAGCCCTGCCTCATGGCTGGAGTTCCTGCCAGATGTGTCCTCCACGGGAGGAAGCCCAGGGCTGTCCCAGTCCCCAGCACATGCACCAGGCGCTGTCACACTGGTGACAGCAAAGCTCTTGCCCACTCAGCACCTGCCCAACAACCAGGACTTGATCTTCCTGCGGCACCAGCAGCAAAGCCTAGGAGCACCCACACTCCCCTCCTCACTGGGCCTTCAGGGCGAGCCCATCTACCTGCAAAGGAGAAGCAGCACCACCCTGGAGTGGCCCAGACCCCATCCCACAGCTGATACAGAAGCAGCAACAGGAAAGGCTTCCATCCCACGGCCTTCCATCAGGGTCCTCACCGAGCTCAGGACTGACACAGACAGCACCGGCAAGGGCCAAGGAGGAGCTGAGTGGCACCTTCTCCAAGAACAGCAGAGGAGAACGACACTGCAAGCACTCAGAAGACCAAGCCAGCATCAGAACTAAGACCCACAAATGTAGATCAAAACTTATGCTAAAACTAAACAGAGTGGTGATCTGCTAAGAGAGAAGACAGATCAGATCAAGAATCCCCCAACATGCCAATAAAAATGTCCACGATGCCCTAAAATTCTCCAATGTAAAACCAGGAAAATGAAAACAAGCACCAAAGTGGAAGATACAATAAAATATCATCACTCTTACCCAGAGCAAAGGAAGATCAGTGAACAAACACCAGCACAGAGATGAACACAATTTGGAAGGATCTTAGAAGAGTGTTAAAGGAGTTATCATAAAAATGCCTCAACAAGCACAGATCCACTGGAAACAAATGAGAAAAGTAGAGAATCTCAGGACATAAGCAGAAGTGGAACCAAAGAGAAATTATAGAACTTGAAGTTATAACTCAGATGAAAAAGTCGCTGAACAGTGTCAGTAGCAGAGTAGTGGTTACAAAAGATGTAGTTAGTGACCTTGAAGACAGAGAAGCAGAATAAATTCTTTCTAAACAGTGGAGAGAAAGTAGACTGAAGGCCACTGCCTCGCTGTGCTACCTGTGTAAATTTGGCACCGTGACCTCTAAACTCAAGGGTGGCCTTCAAGACCCTCCCTTTAGTTTTAAAAACTGTTTAGTATAAGGAAAAGACTTTACATTGTAGAATTTTCCATATAAAAGATTAAAATTGAGAATTTAAAGATATTGAAAGTCTCTTTTTATATATATATTTTAGAGAAGGGTCTACAGGGTGTTCAGGGTCTCACTACTAGATCTGACTCACAGTGATCTGCCTGTTTACAGCCTCCCAAGAGCTGGGATTACAGGCACGTGCCACCACACCCAGTCTAAATATTGAAAGTCTTATAACAGACTTATAACATGTTAACATACAAGGCAGAATTTTATAAAAATATCCATATTTCCCAAACCAAAAATTAACAATACAATGAGTAGCACTGTGTAGCACTTTCATAAATACCTTTAATATTTGGCTTCTTTAAGGTCATCTGGATTCTTAACTATGCTACTGTATACAAGATGATGTTACTATATGTTATTTTGGATAAAATATAAGAGAAAACTTTGATCATACACAGATATGTACTTGGAAAACGAAAGACCCTATTGATAGCCTTTTCAGATAACTGTGCTACTGTACACTACATTAAAACCCAACAAATGGTAGTTTCTTAAAGATTCTTTGCAATATGGAATCTGAAATCCTATTTGTAATTCTTCCATCTTGTTAAACTAAAATTCATTAATCTGTCTCACCCCTTCAACGGCTCTTTTATCCATGCATGATTGAAAAATAGCATGTGACAAAGTAACACACATTTTCTGAAGGTTGACATATTTCATCAGACAATACCCAAAAACTGCATTTGCTAATATCAGTCCTTAGCTCTGTCATCAGAAAACTGTTTTACTGTTGACAAGCTGTCAAGACCACAGTGGCAGACTTAAGTTTTCCAAAGTTCTGCTTTTTGATTGAAATTTCAATTTTCCGTCACTGGCAAGAAGTGCTGACAGCTTGATTTAAATCTTTCTGGCTCACTTTGTTCATTGTTAAGAAGATGTTTGCCAAATGCCCAAATCTGAAAATCCCTTTTATCTGTCAGTGTTTCTAGGAGAAACAGTCTTCCATGAGAAGCTGGTTAGTCTGTTCAGCAACAAGAACAACCAAACAAGTGTTTTTCACAAGACAGCTGTTGTGTTTCACTGCTCAGAAGTGCTGTACCAGTGCTTCCCATCTGTTCACCCAGAATATTCAAAAGATGTGCTGTGGGTTGATAATGTGGCAAGGAAAAGAACAGCGACCATATCAGAGTGGGTTCACTGCCTTGACCTGCAGTAAGGTCAGGCCCTTGGACTGTTTACCCCTTTTGACCCATCAGTGCAAACATCAATAAAGAGCAAAACCACACAACACCTGACTGCTGTTATAACCACGGGTTTGACTTTGTGTCACCACTGCTGGGTCCAAAGGCCTCGGTGCCACCCTCCACTGAAAGAGTCATTGCTACAGAATGTAATCTGATATAATGCCTCTGATTCCAGCAGCATTTCAGATCAAATGCTATCGGATCCCCGTATTTATTTTTCAAACCTAGATCATTGTTATACAATGTGGCAGAGTTGAAAAAGCCTTTAATTGTCATCAGAGAGATCCAGTTTGAGTTTCAATTTCATCTCTTATTTGTGTGCATGATTTTTAATATTTTAATTAAGTTTCTTGCTATATTTTACATATACATAGTGATCATGATCCATCATAGGGAATGTGGACTTGTACATGTTGTATATTAATTCTTTTGCGCATTTCCCTTCCATCCCTTCAATCCCGCCTTATTTTATCTTATATTTTATTCTTAGTACTTCTTTACCATCATGAAAACTTTTTCTTAGTTCAATTGTTTTGAAACATTTAATTTTTAATTAATTAGTATTTAATTTTCTGAATATTGCTTAATCTTAATTTTTTTATTTTTTTTCAAATCAAATTGGTAGGATAGTTTCAATAATTAACACATTGCATACTCTAATCCTAGTGGTTATTTGCTGTACAAGATGCAGACATGATATCCTATTTACAAACACTATTAGAACAAATCCCTCTATTCATTAAGAGAATATAACTATATATCTATCCTAACCATTTTGAATACACAGATACAAAATGGTCATTCATCTGTATCCACTTTTTTGTTTATCTCTGTCATTTGAATATTATAGGTGTGTTAACTCATCAAAATATTCCAAAAGAGTCCAGTAGTCCATAATAGTATTGGGTCTTCCGCTTGACTGGCAATGTCAGAAATTGTTGACCTGAGTCACCTCCAGCTCAACATAACAACACAGCATAACTTCTTACACTTTGTTTTTATCCTTTTCCGCTGGATAATTAAGACCAAAATAAAGCAAGACCTATGCAACAAAAGTTGTAGCTTTTGGATCTGTTAAGGTCAGTCAAAACCCCACCTTATTTACAAAAGCTTTCTTTCTATTCTTTCCTTCTTTTCTCAGTTTTTCCTTCCCCCCCCCTTCCCCATCCTCTCATAGCTCATCTTCCCATTTGGACATCTTTTTCCTGCTATCCTATTATTTTTTCCTATTATCATGGGGAAGAGACAAGCTACTAAGTGACAAAAAGATTTTGTCAGATATTCATCAAAGAACTAACATCTTCTAGAGTACATAAAGAACTCAAAAAAAGTCATACTTCACCAAATTTAAAGACTCAGCCCAAAAATTTGCATCTGAAATGAATAGACACTTCTCAGAAGAAGAACTAGAAATGGCAAATAAATGCATGAAAAAAATGTTCAACATCTTTGGCAATTTGAGAGGTGCAAGTTAAAACATTGCTGAGATTTCAACTCACTGTGGAAAGAATGGTGATTATCAAAAAATCAACCAATAACAAGTGCTGGAGAGGTTGTCAGGGAAACTGAACCCTTTTCCACTGGTGGGGAGAGTGTAGACTGGTGCAGTCACTGTGGAAATCAGTGTGGATATTCCTCACAAAACTAAAACTAGAGGTCCCATTCAACCCGCTATTCCTGAAAGAAT